ATGTGGCATCCAACCTGTCATTCTTCACATTTAACATAAAAAACAGCAATAAAAGGTAGGCTTATTGATGTTTTTTGAAACTCTGATCGATTTCGTGAAACATTCGTTTGTATTAAATTGTTCTGATTTTTTCAACATGCATTGAAATATATATTCATGTTTATTTCGTGCTGCAAATATTAAAGAAGAAAATATAATTGATTTATATGCAGCTTGAACTGAGGCGAATTCTCACTACAAATTAAAGAGCGTACACATTTTTTGCATATGGGCCGGGGGCTGACTTGCTACGCCACTGAATAAGACTGATGTACCCGCGTTGTAACACAAATAAATGTAAGGTTTTTGGATTTTCCCCTTACTTTAAATGCATGCTTATGGCTCATTATTATTAATCGAAAACAACAACAACAACAAAAAACATTAAACTTTGAACTTTTATTAACAAAATAAATAAGGATATGTTTTACTCGCGTTTAACACAAATAAATATGGATTTCCCCTCAGGCTACCTTAAAAAGTTCGTAGTTTGTGGTTTATTATCTTATTAAAATTAAAACACATCAGCCATAAAATAGTACAATGGCAAATTCGCATATATTAAACATCTACCTTGCATTGACAAAATGAATAAGATGGATATAGCCGTTGTAACCCAAATAAATAAGGTATTTCCCCTTATTTAAAACGAATGCTTAGTTTGTGGTTCATTGTTATTTTTTTAATGAAAACCCAGCAACAAAGACACTCACTTATAGGCTATTAAACGAATAAATGAAAGTTTTCTATTAACAAAAGTTGCGCTTTGGATCCGCCATCATAGAGTGTCAGTCTTCCCGCATCACTCTTGTCACGTGACCCCCCCGTTTTATTTCTCAGCCCCCCAGCTCAAAATACGTTCCCGCGGCTATGCACAGACAGTACACACACATATATTACACAAAAACTTTTATTTTGGATGCAATTAATCGCGATTAATCGTTTGACAGCACTAATTAAAATAGAAAACAGCTATTTTAAATGGTAACACTATTTCAGAATATTATTGTTTTTACTGTATTTTTGATCAAATAAATACAGCCTCTGAGAGAATGAGCCTTATTTCAGAATCACAAAATGAAAAAAATATCTAAAACTGTACTCGTCTTAACATTTGTCTGTTAAATTCCACATAACGAGAGTTAATAATCTACTCCATAAATTGAAAAACCCATCATAATGTAAAATCACATTTCAACACAGAGGGCACTGTATGAGGCTGCAAGACCTGAAATGCAAAATGTGCAGGGCTGAGGTTCTCGAGAACCACTAGGCCTGTATTAGGCTATGAAAAAAATCCGTAAACAACAATATTCAGTCAGTGGTGCATTATTCATAGGACGTAGCTCAGATAGAAATACTGGTTAAAAAAACAGCCTTAAAAAGGAAGAATGCAGTGGCATACTTTCTGCAGGGAACTAGAGGAGTTGGAGAGGAGAATCGGATTTCAAGCACCCGAGTTGAATTTATGTAGTGTTGATTGTCTCGAGGCAGGCAGCGCGCACTAGGGCTACTGAAGTCTGGGGGAGTTACCAAAACCACGTGCGGGAAGGGCGGGGCTTCAGGCAGCGCACTGTTGAAACTTTGTCGAGCTCCGCCCTTAACAGCTGTAACGCATTTATACACGTGCAAACTTTGCCCATGTACGACACTCCCCAAAACCTGTGCGGGTCAACTCCAAAGAACTCCAGCGCCTTTCCAACTCCGTTCAGCCGTGGATTTCTCTGAGTACACAAGGATCCTTCTCGGTCCGAAAACCTTTTCCCCCTAAACTGGAACTCGCTTATAGAAAATGTCTGCTTCGGTGCTGTCTTCCATATATGATTTCGACAGGGTAAGAGTTTATATTTGACTTATTCACTTCTGTTTTTTTTTCTAAGCTTATCTTAGTATTTTGTTGATCTTTGTTTGTTTCCTCAATTTATCCGCGCTGGCAAACTTGTAACATGAGAGCTCTGTGTTTACTCACTAGTCTTCATAATAACGCGTTGTTGGGAGACCGGGAGTCTTGTAACTCGTTTTGTTTCAACTTCTGTAACTCTGTTACAGTCGGGGTTTTTGCGTTATGTGTCACAAACTTTGATATAATAACCACATATATGTATGCTACAAATTAAAGTAGTTTTTGAAATCCATTTCTTAGACTCAAATTGTCAAGTACAAGGAGGTCTGTTGTGACAAACGTACCACAGTAGTGATATAAGCTGTAACATCAATTGAAAACCTTGATTTTAGGTTTTGTGAATGAATTTGTGATTTAATTATTTGTTCAAAACAACATGCCACACTCTTTCATTTTTAAAACTCTTATTTCAAATATATAGGACAACATATACAATTTTAACCCCACAGAGCAAATAAAACACAACAAACACAGAAATGCATAAGGCATGGGGTTTGTCTTGTCATATTTATTTATTTTTAAATTAGTATACATATTTAAAACCTATACACAGTTTCCATCATTAACTATGATAATTTGATTCAGTCATTTAACAGTCATTCTGCCATTTACCAAATTTAACTTTTTTCAAAATCTTTTATATTTTTTATTATACTGTCCTTTAGCTTATGCCACCTCATGGTCATGTACAATAGTGTTTTCATTCATGTATTTTATTGCTAATTGTTGGTTAAACTAATGGTGATACCTCTTAAACTTATTTGACATCTATGCTTAGAAATTCTGTTTGTTTTATTTCAGGAAAAAGTCCCAAATTCAAATGCAATCTATCTCCACAATATGCTGGAAAAGAGGAATGTCGGGGTCCCATTTGCTGCTTCCAATACAAACAGCAACAGGTCTTTTGGTTATTTCAGGAGTAACTCATCAAACCACATGGACTTCAACATGAGCAACAGGCTGCAGATCGGTTTCGAGAGCTCAACACCTGCCTTCATGAATAAAGAAAACAAGTACCGAGACCGTGCGTTCAGTGACACGGGGGAACGCAGTCAACAACTTCAGGAAATTCTTCAACAAAAGCCCGGCTCTCAGATCAACTCAACCCGCTACAAAACCGAACTATGCCGGCCTTTTGAGGAAAACGGTTCGTGCAAGTACGGGGAAAAGTGTCAGTTCGCTCACGGCTATCACGAACTGAGAAACCTGTCCCGCCACCCGAAGTACAAGACGGAGCCATGTCGCACATTCCACACTATTGGTTTCTGCCCATACGGCCCTCGCTGCCACTTCATTCACAATGCAGATGAGCGCAGAGCTGCTACGTGTAACGCTCAACCGAGGCTCAGCAGGGAGATTGGTGTCCTAGAAGAGAAAGAGTCATCAAACCCGTTCCTGAGACCGAGGGAAAGACCGAAGCTGCACCACAGCCTGAGCTTTTCCGGCTTCTCCAGCTCCTGCAGCAACGAGTCCACTTTGATTGACAACCCAACATCACACACGCCCCCGCCGCCCACCTGCACACTCCCTACCAGTTCACCCTGTCTGAATGCGTTCACGTTCCCCGATCAGGATCTTAAGGCTTTTCTTGCCCCCATCATCCCTAAGACCCATAGTGCTTTTACCCATCAGACCAGCGGTGGCTTGTACAGTAACATCCAGACCAACGCTTTTCCCCCGTCGCCACCTTTCAAAATGAGCCACTTTCCCTCCATGCATCCACTCTCAGAGTCTCCAGTGTTCGATTCTCCACCAAGCCCGCCGGATTCCCTCTCAGATCCTGAAGGGTACCTGAGCGGCTCTTGCTGTTCCTCTGGCACAATCAGCGGCTCGGAGTCGCCCAGTATGGACGCAAATAGACGTTTGCCAATCTTCAGCAGGCTGTCGATTTCAGACGATTGACTTGCTATTATTGTTATAGCCTTTTATCCAAGTAGTGCCAACATGAGTTTCAGGTCAAATATCAGTCTCAGCCGTTGGTTATCTCTAAGTGTTTGTCTCATGATTGAGATCTGATTATATTATATTTTTTTCTTTCTCATTTTTCCTTACCAAGATGATGGCTTCAACAGTCTAGAAAAAGGCCTACATGGAAGTAATTCTTGGGAAAACATTCCATAAGTTTGGAAGTGGTGTAAGAGCACAAGAACTGGGACTCATAAGTTGGTCATGGAATGTCACTGCAGATTTTTTTTTTATTTTTTATTTTTTTAAAGCTGTGTGGTGTCATTGCTTCTTGCATCATGCTTTGAAATCTATTTAACTTATTTATTGTCATGTGAAAGTATTGCCTTCAAGGATAAATTGAGTCCATGTGGTATTTATCAAATCTAAAGCAATACACTTATATTCCTGTTTAAATTGTGATCACCAATATTAATCTGGAAACCATTGGGTTTGTGTCACAATAATATATTTTTGTTAACTCGTATATTTTACTGTAAATGGGTAAATAATTTAAGATTGTATGCTATTTATTTCAATTTTGTTTAGTGTGTGTGTGTGTGTGTGTGTATATTAAAAACATGGGAGCGTCTGATGAGGTCACGATGTGATTTCTTGTGCAGGAGGGAGGGAAGCGTCAGAGGATCTATGGGCATTTGTAGAATGTAGCCTATCTTATGAGGTCTTTATGGCCATAAAGAACTAACTGATTTCACACCTACGAGTATGACTGTTTCTTTCTTTTTTTTTTTTTTTTACCAACGATACCGACAACCAAATAAAGTGTCCATTGTGTGACGATTGCAGTCTAGTGCCAGAGAATGTAGCACTCTCCTATCTAGAGGTTAATAACTAGCTAATATGTGCCTGCTGGGGTTGAAGATCCCACATAGTTTAACCTAATAAAGCAGTTGCTTTGGTGTATATCTAAAGTCAATCGAATTGAATGTAGCTCATAGATCAAGATGCCTTCATTATGGTGAGTGAGATGCTATTTCGTTGTTTATTTTTCTACTTTTAGAACATTTGAACGCACCATTCCTATAATGAAAGACTCTGTCTTTCAACTGTGCTTCTCTAGACATGCTGACTGGGGATATTAAGGTTTGTAGTTGGTTAATAACTATTACTTTAACTTTTTAGAGGAAGTAAAGCAACACTGAATGTAATAAACAAACGTCAATTGGAGTATGTATACAAAGTGTGCAGCGTAAACTTGTACTGTATGTTGTTTATATATATATATATATTTTTTTTTTTTTTTTTTCCATAGAACTTCTAATAAACGCATTTTTGAACAAGAACTGGATGTTTGGAGGGGCTTTTATTCCACAGTGGAAATAAGAGTTGCTTAATGCTCAGGACAGGGCTTATTCATGCAGTGTCCTGTAAATTATTGTCTACTCTATTCTAGTCCGTTTTCCCGCCCTCCTGCTTTTCTTTCAGGGAAAAATAGCTACTTCAATGTCCTAGCGTTTGGTCTCCTCTCCTGACAGAATGTTCAATAGAGGCCTGCTTTGTGTGAATGGCAGAAAGTGAAGTATGAGGGGGGTGTGGTGGCCTTGCACCGCAATCTTTGGGAGGTAGTTTATAGACCCTCCTTTTTAGAAATGCAACATTGTCCAGTGGAGCATTCAATGGAATCTTTACTGGAATTAACTTGGTTTATGCAGATGTGTTCAGTATCGTATAAAAGCAGCCTACAGTCTTCTGCAGTTTAAATTCTCAGTACTTATCGTAAGAAATGTAATTAGGAAAACACAGGCAGACGTGTATCAGTGTTAAGGGTCTGCTCATGAAGATAAGGCGCTTTGCAAAGATTTACATACTAAGAACTTCTTAGACAACCCTGTTTAACTTCGAGTGTTCGTAATGTATGGCCTCTCACAAGCATATGTATGATAAGGTTGATAAACGGTCAAATGATTGTGTTAGCTTATATGTGAATCTATATTTGAACGTATCTGGATCCACTGTGCGCATGTGTGAGAGTAGTGGGGGTCCTTTGCGTGTCAGTGTGCATGTGCAAAAGAAAGGTTGTCAGCCATTAATGAACCACATCTCACAAAAGCAGGAAACCACTCTGTTCGCTGATTAGGGACTCTTGGGAGCAGGGCTATTCCTCTTGGATATTTTCCACTACACCCCTCTTTTGTGATTTATGTGGAGTAGGCTTCAGGCACAGGGCCATTTTTCAGATATGCATACATACACTTTGTCAAACTTTGAGTCAGAGTGAATTATGTTCTTTGACAGTCATTACAAAAGCTAAAATTATCAGGATTTTAATTACTCCATGTTCTAATTTAATAACATAATATAATAGAATTGTTTAATTATATTATTAAATTGTACTATTGAAACATTTATTTAAAATGAATGTAATTATGTAATATATCATAACCCCCACTACTATGACGCACACAAACATTGGATCCAGAAATCAATCAATCAATCAATATATATATATATATATATATATATATATATACACACACATAATTAGTCAATGATCAGTTAGTAAAACATGAAGTACAATCATAGTTTTAAAAAAAAAAGTTTATCATAGTCTCTATTGGGTGTGGCTGTTTTTAATACAAGAGCACTAAGTTTGAAATTTTGAGGAACA